AACTCTGCTGAGATTCGTTTCTTATCGGTGCTGGGTAAATTCCATCCCGCATTTTCTGTGAAATCCCAGAAGACTTCGCTTCCACAAGAGCAGGATATACAGTGACCACTAGCAGAGGCACTCCAAAACGTTCACTTTATTGAGACGGCACCTGTAGAGGCTGACATAACCCAAAGCTAATAGATGAACTGAAAATCGGATTATATATATATATATATATATATATATATTACGTATACTGTACTGCATCGTACTGCACCGCAGTGCACTACCTCTTACCATAAAATACACTACACTTTAAAATACACCATAAAATCATTCAGCCGTAACACACTTTCCGTACCTAGCTGTCACGTCACCAGAAGGATGGACGAGGGATGAGATACAACCAGGTCGTCGAAGCCTAGACGGGAACAGTCGAGATGTCGGAGTCAGGTTCGAACCACAGGCCTATTGTTCAGTAAATTCGCATCTTCACCACTGAGCTATCTTGAGCTCATTCTTAGGGATCTGGATGCTCCACCACGTCTATCCAGACTCTCTCAAATCTAGTTCATCTCAAGATCAAGCGTAACAAAGAATTCAACCACCGCTCAACAGATGCTTTGCGAAATCCCAACAGCCTTCCAAAACAGGGTTGAACTACATCTATTTGTAAATTAATTTTGCGTTAATGGGATGCCTAACCGAGTTCTAGCTGAATACGCCGTTAACCTGATAAGCCGCAAGGTAAGGCCGGTTGTACGCCGTTGAAAGGTTTTCAAAAACCTTATAAGCTGAAGTACAATACCGGATTAACTGACTGATCAGCGCCCATTCGAAATCAAAGTAGCTAGTATGATGTAGAACAAATCTTTCAGCTGCAATACCCCTCCGGTGCCTAACTGCCATGCCACCCGAAGGTTGCACGAGGGCTGGGGTACTACCAGGTTGCCGAAGCCTAGACAGGGGGAGTCGAGATGCACAGGTCCGGTTCGAACCACGGACCTTTCGGTCAGTAAATTCGCGCTCTAACCACTTGGACCATCTCACCCAAGAGAAAAGCGCAGACACGTACAAGTCATTCGTAAGTTTACCAAGATTTTACGACCCACACTGACACGCACCGTGTTCTAATTCACCCGCGGGTGACCCACGGAGAACACGACTCACTGTGTGAGCAGACTGACCATTTGAACTCAGCGTCATCGTACTGGTAACAGTTGGGAGGTAAAAATATTGACCCCTCACGTTTATTTGGTCTTATTGGTCTGGGAGCAAGTAGGAACCCTTCGCTATTATACGTGAGAGTTACACGGAAAACTCTGAAAGGGATATATTATTTCCCCTCTGAAGAGATCTAACTGGATAGGCACTAAATGAGTACGCAGTCGATGGGTAAGCACTTACTCAAAAGTTCCTACTGCATTTTGTAACTTTGGGTGGGTGTCCTGTGGTGTAATTAGAAGCCTAACAATTTGCCGATATTATCACCCAGTCAAAAAATTATCGGAAGCCGTTTAGCTTGGAAGAAGACTATGGGGGTGCCAAAATAGAAAACGGATGGACAAAGTAAGGAGGGACTGACCTTTCATTTTCATCCCGACAAACAAGCACTTGCGGTAGCGACAAATCTGACACTTCCCACGACTCCCCTTGGCCACGACGCAATTACCACCGGTCGGACAAATATTGGTCGGCTTCGTATCCGTCAAAGAGTGTCGCATGAAGAATTTCTGCAACAGGCGATAAAAGAGTACGAGACCATATGGGATGAGCCATATACTTGAGATAGAAAACGATTTTTCGATAAAAGTTCATCCCTATCATTTTGAGCATCTGTTTGGCCATCATATGGTAGCAATCAACAGGGCAAGAACAGTTATATTTGTAAAGGAATAACCCGATTAAAACTACCATGAATCCATAATGAAAAAATTCAACTAACTACTTACGGGAAAACCTTTTTAAGGAAAATTATCTTGAGAACAATCAAAGGATAAGTAGGTGCATTATCGAATTTCTTGAACAGCTGACTGGAAGTCATCGTAGTTAGGAGAGTGGGGAAGGAATGACCGACAGACTCCTGTGAAATTTTCAACCTCTGGAAAAGAAATCCTCGTGTGTTTAGAGGAAATTAATGCTACACTCATATGCAAGTTCGTCAATCCAAAAATAAAAGAGAGAACCCCATAACCAATCATACAGCAATTCTGACAAGAATTTCCTCCTTATAGGGCGCAAGCTGTTGTACTGGAAACTTTAGAGTCGTTCGCAAGATGTTCAACTCCAGAAGCACATCGTCGTCTCCCAGCAATGGATAAGATTACCATGTTGATGGGAAGGAGAAAATTAAGCTCGTTTTCTTCGTCCCCGAAGCCCTTTCTCCAGCCTCCCAAAACAGGCAGGTACTGTTTGCCAGATGATTAGGGACTAACGGAAAATATCCAAGCATCAGTTACTTGTTCATTGAATCAAATTTCCAATTACTCAAACCAAACTGGCTTTCGTATGAGTCCCTTACCTGCCACTATACGACCAGTCCGCCTGGGATGCCAAAACTAGAAAAGTTAACACGGATTTCGCCGCAAAACATGGAGGACATCTTAATAGTTAACCGGTGACTGTCCCTAGTGTTGACTGCAAGAACGATAACCTGTGATTGTATGAAATTCCTTCCCCAGTGGACACCAATCTGGGAGTAGCGGGAGATCTCGAGATCGTCTTGAAGAGTCCAAGAGAAACAAGTCAGAAATGTTGGTGCTAGTGTATGCTATTCAGAGTACCACGTAAATGGTGAAAGAAGCTCCCGCTGATTAGCATAAGGCACATTCAGTGAAGATCACGCTATACTTGTACTGGCATACAAATTCTCAAGAATGACCGGAAATTTTGTCGAAAAACCGTTTGTGCAATCGTAGGCAAGTTTTGCACTGCACACAGAATGTCCATAAGAAAGTCTATCATTTGAGGGGAACTCAAAAGATCCTGTCCCCTGAACGACTCCTGCTTTTTGTGCAGAGTTCCCCAAGAGAGAAAATCGTCTTTTCATTGGTCACGGTTATCTGGTGGGATTATGGAACATTGATGTGGGACGCTGTGGAACATGATGAGGATAGTGTATGAATGAATAAGGATGTCTCAGAAAAGAACCTCTCATTTTAAAGCAAGGTCAACAATGAAAAAAATTCCAATTCGCAGCGAACCGTCCGGTACACGCCGCTCATGTAGGAGGAATGAAAAGATAACGGCGGAGTACTCTTTGATTGAATCACCTAGTTAGATTCCTCGTTTAGGGAGATTAACCACTGAGGAACATTATGACGCCTGGGCAAAAGAAACGTTCCTAAGATCCATCATATCGGGAGTTTAATCGCCTTATCCGAAAACGCATCTCTGCTGGGATCCGAATTCGGGCACCATGACAACAGACAGACTGATACCAAGCCGGACTGCATATCCGACAAACCTGTATCCACTGAAACGTAACCGAGAGCTTCTGACATGTTCCCTCCCGCACGTGGGAGTTACGATTCCATCGGAATCGCATGCCGGAAATCGATACACAGAAGAATGGGGTTTCGTAAGCCTTAATAAGCATAGCTGAAGGTCAGCAACTTTCATGAGCGGCGAATTGAAACAGCCGAAACGACTGTAGAGAACTGAGGTGAGTCAGCATCACCAAAAACGGCATCAGAGCGAACGAATGGTGCATCTTTTGATCGGAGGCACCGAGTGGTGTGAACTTTGTGTCTGTTCAACCTGTCAGTAGGCAACACGACGACCAGCCATCCATGTATCATGGCGGAAAATACACGGCTACAACGATCTGTCCTGATCCGTTTCCAGGCGTGCACATGGGCGAACTTTGCGATGCGAGTGGCGGCTTGACTCAGCAGGTTGTGGGCTACACAGTTCGTTCAAAGTTTGTGCTTAGGAATACGCACCTTAATACTGCTAACGCACGTAGACAAACACACACACAACCTTTGGGTCAATGGGAAGAAAAATGAGAAAAATTGGAAATCGTTGTCGCTAATGTTTCGCGTGCTTGCGTGCGCTGGTATTACGCGTACTGGTCAACAACTGGTCGTAAACAACCAGAGACAATTATACGTTGTAGGGCACGATAGCAAGCTGAAGGGTATGTGTTCGAAGTGGAGACTGGGTGGAGGCAGGGCGGCGGCAATAGGACGTGCGCACAGGATACGACGACCCGTAAAGGTAGACAGACAGACGGACATGTGGATAGCCAACAAATGGCCGAGACAGTTGGATGAGGAAAATGAAACAAAATCAATGATTACCCAGCGGTCGGAGAGAAGTGTGGGATGTGAGCAAGAGCACAAAAACAACAAAAAGTTCCGGGAGAAAGGATGAGCTGAAAAGAGTGAGTGTTAGTCACTTGGGCATTGAGGGAAGTGGTTAAGCGGTGTGTGAATGGGACCGGAGATAAAGAGCAAAAGTAAGGGGCAGAAAGTGCACGACCATCACTCGCTCCAACAAAAAAAACGAGGTCCCCACCAAGAGCGAAACCCAGTTTTGTTTCAAATGAAACCCTCCCCTCGAAACGGAAAATGAGCGCGCACAGAAAATTTGCTCCCAAGTTTGATCGCCACATTTTTTTAACCAAAGTCTGGTCGTCGTAAAGCGGTTATGCGATGATTGTGGCCATTTGCGATGATCGTGTCCTTGGTTACGGTTGCATGGAGCCCGAACTATAGCGGGAAAACACAAGTCTAAACCAGAGGCGGCTCTGGAACTAACCAAAGAAGTGATTGATGATAGAACAATTCCACATTTATCGCAGGATCACCTTTTCCCGGGCCTCCAACCTGTGAAGGACGGGAAATTCCAGTGCGACAAGATGGACACCCAGGTACGCAAACAGCGCAACATGATAAGGTTTCGTTGCTTGGTGGTAATCAACATTTTTTTATTTAAATTTATACTTTAAATTATTATTCTGTATTGCTATTATTATTGACCAGTGGTTTGATGTGCAAAAGATGACCGGTCATATAAACGACGACAAATTAGTTGAATAAGTCAAAAAATGAGAGCATCCATTTTTCATGTGGAATAATACCTATGGTCAAAAGATACCTATGATCCCCAAAGAGGGATAAGCCCCTGGCAAATGGGGTTCAACGTTCCTCTTCAGGTACAACCTCGGGTACGAAATAAGGCCAGACAGTAAAGGTAAGTGGCAGGGTCACAATTGTATTTGTCCTTTCGTATGATTGTGCGAAATCATAGCAGCATTCCAATAGCAGGTACGCATGAACCCTGTCGTTAGTGGGTTGCTTGAAGTCATCCGCCATGATAATAATAACAACAATAATAATAATAATAATAATAATAATAATAATAATAATATAATCGTTCAGCTGTAACACCCTACCGGTGTGTAGCTACCATGTTAGGCTCGCGCTTTGACTACTGAGCTATCTTGAGTTCATCACAATGCGATATCACTGGACCGAGGGGAGGCAACTTTGAGAATGTTCTGATTATATATGAAAAGCAAGAACTACAGCTAGTAACACGACATGTTTAGCACGAGAAAAATTATAATCGGTATTCGGATTGACAGTGGGGACTTTGAGGAATATTACCCCTCAGCCAACAAACGGCGGGTTCCTGTCGCTTAAAGTGGTACTTCCACATACAGCAACAAAAGAAAAGAACTGCGTTTTAAGTAAATCTAAGACAGTAAGCTCACTTTGAAAACCAAAAACGAAAGATGCAATCGCTACTAAGGTGATTTGAAAAGGAATTTGTCTAACACACATGCTTAGCAAAAAGAAAAAAGACTGATCCCCACTGAAGAATGAGGTATAGCTAACTGAGTGGTATATTTGGGGAGCTGGCGTAATAAACGTCGTCGCAACTGGTCTGGTTGGTTGTCACATGACAATAGTGTACTGGTCGTGATTTGTAAACTTCATGATACAATAAAACAGGATACCTGGTTTTCGAAAAGTTTGGTAAATGACCTATTTTTTAGTAAGTTTTCGATCCTGGCACGAAGGTTTTACGACACCGTAATAACAAAGTGTGATTGTCGCCGGTGTGAACAGCTTAAAATCTCGTGAGCGTATGAAACCTATCAGGGTCATGATGCAAACCCTGGGCAGCATGAACGTAGGTGAAGAAATGTCCCTCATTGCTATGCAAAAAAAACAAAGACAGCTGTTACCCCGTTCGCAAACCAGGGAGAGTTTGTACATCTCTTTTGACGTACGTAGTTTTAGATCATTCATAATGAGAAAGAGGTTATCCCTGCATAAGACTAAGGAACAAGAAAAACGACAAATGTTGCACGATGAGACGGATGTGGACCACAGTTCTGAAAAAGCGAAGGGACGGGGAAATCGCGATGAGCAATGAGGGCCCCAACCAACTACTTCGTGACCAAACAAAACCTGCTGTTTGCTGTGGACTTCATCAAAGCAGTCTGACTGATTAGCACTAAATCATGAATTCGGGTAGTAGCTGGCTGTCCACAGTGGACATTCGAAAACACTCCTGGCACTAAAGCCATTACTAGACATGAACGTCGTGTCCCTCTGTCCTGTTTAGTGTTCAAAAGACTGCTGAAAACAGCTATACCTGTTTATCTATCATAAACAGGAAGTTGAAGGCCACGCATGTTTAAGTGGATAAAAGCCCAAGAAGGATAGTTTGGCAGCAAAAGACCTTGGAAATACAAAGATAACAGACATCTGATCACAGCCCTCGGGTTCCATCGAGTCAACATAGCAACAAGACTTGTCAAGATACCTAGATATACGGACTAAACCATTCCTTTTGCTGAGAGGATCAATGAACACGGTTTCAATGCTCACCAGCGTGAATGATCACATTTCGGACTGAGTTGTGTATGTTTGGTGTGTCTTTACCATTTAAACTGAAGTGGAAAAATTCGGGTAGGTAATACAAGAAGTCGAATTATAACTTGGTTTAGATTGATAGACTAAACGAAACGGTGGACATAGTTCGCCATGCTACAAGCTCAGTGATGTCAAAGTACACTGTCTGGTATGAAAATGTCGTAGAAAGCCTTCGGTGAATTGCTCGGGATTACCTAAGTAGACAGATACCTGTTAAAATCCCCGTAGAAGCGTCCAAATCACTTTCGTGTGCATACAGACAGTAAAAGATCCATGTGTGGTTTTGGAAGAACAGTTCAGGTGACGACAATGGTTCAGCGTGTCGAAGCTAGTAAACTGAATCCATAGATGAGAATTAAAATACCAATCTCAAGTGGTTTGAGGGTACCTTTTTAACGCAAAATTTGACATTGGGTAGACACTCAGTAAGACAGTTCTCCCACAGTAGGCAAACCAAAAGAAGGTTCAGCTGTACAATGATGGGTCGGATTATACTTATTTGTTGTAGTCATCTGAAAAATGCCGAAAGGGGTGTGGAAACAAGCCTTCCAAAGAGACTTCGAAAGATGCGACATTCCTGACCTCGGAGAAGGTGCTGATTTCCAAAGGTCCACTGGATATGGAGGATGCTGATCGTGATATCGTAACTAGAAAGGAAATGATCAAACTAGTTTTTGTTTTTGCGATGTGGCCTGGTATCCGAAGATGAGCTACTCTACACAACCTCGATCGGATGGATGGATGTGTCGCGACCCGGCTTTGAACAAAACGAGGGCCCTGATCGGTTAGTTAAGGCAATCAGGATCAGCGCTTCCCGCCTCATCACGAAGATTCTAGCTGGACCTTGTGGAAGATTCCATGATAACGATTTTCGTTATTTTTCATTAAAAGTAATCTCAAGTTATTGTGCCTTTCGATATACAGTAGTGGGTGGAACGACTTGCAAAAAGTTTCAGTACCGTATACAGACCAAGTGGTTAGAGCGCGAATTTATCGACCGAAAGGTCCGTGGTTCGAACCCGACCTCAACACCTTGACTTCCCCTGTCTAGGCTTGGGCAACCTGGCAGTATCCCAGCCCTCGTGCTTCCTTTGGATGGCATGGCAGCCAAGCACCCAAAAAGTGCTACAGATGAATGATACAGTACGCAACACTTGGATGCAATAAAGTCCCATGAAATGACATCAGCAAACATTGAGGACAAGACACTTCAGTTGTAGTAGTTCTAGTCAGGAGCTACCGTCAAAGATTGCTAAAACGAAGTACAATCAGTCACCGTTAGTCTGAAACAGTGGCATGGAAGCTGACACGAATGCTTCACTGCCGTACAAACAACTTATCTAACTATATTTAAAGCCCAGCGCGAACATTTCAAGGTGCCCACGCCTACGAACGCTCAGTCAATTTGGAAAGAAATTGACTGCACAAACGCCACTGATGCCCGCTAGCGGCCACTTCCTGCAACGTTTCCGGACGAACACAAGGAAGATCACGGGACCCGATCCTGAAAGGCAGACCGCAAGGACAACATTCAAACCTCTCGTTATCCATTCCAGATGACAAAAAATGATCTGGCTCCTACTGAGGTCCATACTGAACCAGTGTTTCGCCAGGACACGACACTAAAGCAGCGAAAAAGACTGAACGGTTCATTGCTTCCGAAAGAAGGCATAAATTTCAGTTACAATGACTGGTGTGATGATAAACGTCTACTTACAGTGCTAGCGAAAGTTCACTTCAGTTAACCTGGAAGAAGCCGTCACCCCGAACTTTATGTAGCCCTTAGAGACGTTGCGTGATTGTGTAGTAGCCACACTAAGCTATGTCCATTCCTAACGCACTATTGCTGTTCGTGCGTACAGGTTAATAAACTATGTCGCCTTAGTAAAGTACCTTCCTAACTGGTGTGCTGTCAACCGTAAACCTCGCACCGGATAACTCCAAAATAGTGGGGATAAAAAGGTTTTGATCTGGCAATCACATCTGCTGGTCCCAAAAATCCTTGAACTCCAATCTGGTTGATCGATGTTTCTTATGCATGCGCTTATGGGTTATATGGATCGGAATTTTCGTGAAAGTCACCGAGGTTGTTTCAGGACTGCACGCAGAAAACGTGACAGAAGCCACTAATTTAAACTAGAGGACAGAATCGCAATTACGCTAAAACAAATAAAGAAGCTATGCGATACAACGATCCCAAGGAAGGACCAGAATTATCCTTCTGCAGGTTAAAGTGCATGTCCGCGACTGGCAAAGAAATACCGCTGGTTCAAGCTGTACTGCAATTCGCACTTTACTGTGTGAAGACAAAAAGCCAGGAAAAGTGAGGACACTGGCAACACATTGGAAAGATCCCCAAGATGTTTAAAAAAACATGGGTGCACATAAAACACCAAGGTCTCTGTCCGGAGGTAAATCACTGTTCCAAAACTTTACATCAATTCAAATTGAACGGATGTCTCGTGCGCACCACCGACTGAACGAAGGTATTTCCTGATTGGTCGGGATGTCAGTCAGTCACGATCGAGCATTATGGCCCGGCGCCTCTCGCCCTCTCACTTCCTAGAGCGACCTTGTGGAATGTTCTGTGACGACCCTATGAATATAGTTGTAATGGTATCCATAAAGGGCTACTTCAGCTTACCGTGACTTTTGATATACCATTTTGGGCGTAGCAGGGAGGCAGAGAAGTTGCGCTACCATTCTCGGTACACACCAGTCTTCTGAGTAAATGTAGCAAATGTAGCTAGGGCTTTCTTCAGAAAGACCAACAGCTCACTTTAGAATACCCCGTAATAAGCGAATTGGATATCCCACAAACAGACTGATGGAATTTTCAACCGACAGGAAGTAAAATGAGACAACCAGAAGCAAAGAAACTGGCATAATTCGAAAAGTTTAGGCAATCGAGTTGCACCGAGACTTGTAGGTGTCGCGCACAACGATCAAGAATGAAATAATTTGAGGGTTTACAATAGCGCCATTAAAAAGGCACCATCACCTAGAATTAGCAATACTATCATTTGAATATGGAAGTCAGGATGATAGGGAGGTAATCAACTAGTTTGGCAGTGAACAGAACGTTACCATGTTGTATATTAATCGTTGGTGTTCGTTGAGCTGGACTTTTCGGTTAGACAGGTTCTGTCGCCAATTAAGGTGAAGTCCCATTGACGCCTCGGTACAACATAGCCCAAGAGAGGAGACGTTTGTAACTAAATTGACCAGCTCATCGAACAAACTAAAAGCCAGTTACTACCAACAGTTTGGGATACGATCACCTGTAAGAGGTGGGAAACACGGGTATTCAATTACCTTGCAAGCTTCACAGACATATGCTCCATGGTGAAACCCGGCAGCGAGCTCCCCACATACTTGACATCGCTGGCCTTCCATACGGTGCTGATATTGATAGAATGCAGACTCGGGACTGCTAAATCCCGGCAAAGCGATTTCACCATCAAAACCTAATGCTAATTTTGCATGTTCTGTACCAAGTTGTGATGGCTGCTGCGCGTTGTCTGTCGTACAAAGAGAAGACGATGAGGTGGAGAGCGTACGATGATTGTCATTTACGGGGCATAGGGTCACCACCGAGTTATTACCCGTACCAGTGCATTGGATTGGGATTGTGTTGCGTAACAGAAGGCCGGGAGAGACGACGGGAGTATGGCCGCCAACTAGTTCTGCAGTGGAGATTTGTAGGAGTTTTGAGTACTGTGGCTTGGACAGTGTACCAAGGACTGGGCCACCACTGCTGCCGATAGGTTCGTAAGGATAAGAATAACGCCGAGCTTTGTTCGACCGCGGACTCATTCCAAGTGGGGCAAGGGGGCTAGCGAGATCACAGGGATTGGAGTTAATAAAATTCGCACATATCCCATTACCATTAGAGGTGGTCCGTTTACTGTGATTGGTGTTGGGTAGATCAATAGCCGGGTTTGATGTGGGTATCAGAGAAAAGTTCATATGATGCTGGTGCGATTGCTGTTGTTGAAGTTCACTGGTATCAAAAGGATGTTGTCCAGGGGGTGATGTAACAATAATTCCTGAGGAATTCATATAGGATACTGGAGTGACTGTCGCTGGTCGAGGTGTACCACCACGACCGCTACCACCGATTAAGTCGGTGGCAGAACCTGATACATTCGGGCCCTGAGAAAGGAGTAGAGGAGGGGCGGGCGAATGGTGAATAGTGGTGCCGTGGCTGGCGAATGCGGATGATAAATGAGAGGAAGAGGGAGAAGGTGTGATGTCCAAACGGAGGGGATCCATCAACGCAGAGTGTTGGCGCAAATCAACCAATGGTGGACATGGCAAGTAAGAAAATGGTCTTGATGGATATGCGTCAGGGGGCGCCCGATTTTGGCTACCATCACACAGCTCCCGTTTTTCAACCGGAAATCGCTCAGAGCCGGATAAACCGGTCGGGCTTGCAGAATGGAAAGGTGGTATGATGAGAAGATTGCTTGGTAATGAGTGTACGGAATGACTTCTGATCGGTGGGGAGATAGCATCCGATTCTTGTTTGATTTGTAATGTTGGTAGAGCGGGACGTACAGTGACCATGCCAGCGCTGACCGGTATTAACTTATCTGCACCCGTTGTCACTGAGACTAGTGGAGTCTGCTGAGCCACCTCGTCACCGCTGACGACGGCAACAGATCGACACAGTGATGCGTTGCTAGACATGAAGCGCGACTCAAGCGAGTTCGGATAGCCAATATTCCGATTTCCGTGGGAGGTTGAATAGAGCACATGATGGGAATTGGGTACTTCTGATCGATGAATGTCGGAAGTTTCGGAAACATGCGCACGCAAATCGGAAGAATGTGGAGGTCCTGAGCCATTGTTGATCCGATAGTCGTGATTGGAAACTACAGGTAGGAGATGCGGATGGTGCGGGGGTAGATGTGACAGTTGGCTCTGATTCATTGACTGTGGATAGATGGATGTGGATGGGCAAGAAAGATGCTCTCGGAGGCTGCACGCATAGGCCACAGGGTTGCGCATAAACAATGTGACTGTGCCAGGAACGATCGTAACTTGATTCAGTCGATGACACACATTAGCGACGAACGGATGAAGTTTCTTCTGATGATTAGACTTTGAGCAGCATCACTCTTGAGCCGTCGGTACAAAAAGGAATAATCGAAGCCTTCAAACGTACATTTTCGAAAGTCTTTTTTCCGTAACACTGCTTGGCGCCTAAAATGGAGAAAACAGATTGGTAAGTTGTAGTACATTGTCATACTCGGCGAACATCTTATTGTTATCAGAGTTGTCAATCGAGAACTTTGGCACCAATTAAGCTTACCGAAAAAAACCTAGCACAGTAGTATAGATATTGAATCCTAGCCATCATTGTCACCAGTATCGCCGACAGCAGCGGCGGTGCTCAACTGCCAGTGAAGGATAGCAGCCGGTTAGCTGAGCTGCTCCGTAGGTGACTCACTGCTAGAAGGACTACCATCCCTTTCCATAAACCCGGCTATATCATGTCAAGTCCTCTGGAGTGCGGCGCTTGCCTCTTCCTTAACATAATAATAATTTAAAACAATAACAACCGTTCGGCTGTAACACACTTTCGGTCCCTAGGTGTCATGCCAATCGAAGGAAGCATGACGGCTGAGACACTAACAGATTGCCCCAGCCTAGACAGGAGCAGTAGAGGTACTGAATTTGGGTTCGAACCACAGCCCATCCTGCCAGTAAGTCCTTCCCCCCTTAACCACTGAGCTGTCTCGAGCTCATACAACTTAAATGCGAAATCTCCCACGCAATCGGAAACCATTCAGACGATTTATTCGATGTGGTTTTTGCCAAAAATCGGAATGTTCTCTTATTAATCGAGAAAGATTGCTGCTGATTATCGTATGTCTCACATGTCACCTAGGGTTGACCTATTTTCAGTGCTGTTATATGTGCTTACGTTCGTTCTTCACAGGTAGCCATCCTATTATTCATGTCTCATCGATCACTTTTGCTTCCAAAAACATGATGTCAGTGTTTGTGTGTCCTCCACAAGAGCAGCATATTTAATGTTAATCGCTTTAACCCAGATAGCCCCTTTGATTCGATTTCGCAATCAAACGAACCCATTTCGAGTTCGTGTTCTACAGCTGAAAATGACATATTTGGCAAATTTCGAAAAGACTGGCTCATCCTTCATCAGATTTTGAAGTAGCATGAGTTTCTTCTTTCTTCAACAACCATAATTATTCCATTCTCAATACAGACAGCACAAATCCCTCACACCTTTCTCTCACCGTGGTGTTTCATCCTCCCCTAACTTCACCAAATAATCTCCTACCATTCTAATCCAACAGGAGCACACTGGAATTAATCGCTAGAAAAAGGCGGTTCACGTGACTATATCACTGCCCAATCTGGAAAGTTACGATCTTGAAATCTGTCTGCAAGTTTCCGTCCCAGAATACGTTGCGTTGACAGACAGCGTTTTAGAACAACCCAAAAAGTTCCAACAAGCAAAAATGATCAGAGACAGCGACATTGAAACTGACCCTAGGGCCTCAATGCGACGCAACCATAGGGTTTCTCTACTTTTATTTTAAACTTGAAAGTGGAAAATATGAGGACGGGAACGGGTACTAGCCCAGTACCGGCATTCGGACGTGCTCCCGGCTGAAAACGCTCCGTGGGACTATGTGAAAAGAAAGACAATCGTTCAGCTGTAACATCCTATCGGTGCCATGTCACCCGAAGGGAAAAATTGGCGGTAAGGACTCCACTGGCATTAATTAACCGCCACATTTGGCAGTGTGCCCAGTCAAACACAAAGATGGCCATACATACCCCATTCGCGAAGCCGAACTGCACACAGAAAACAATCTCTACTTATCTCTCCCACATTCTTCCGTCAAGTCACACGCTGCCCACAGCGCAGCTTGCGCCATTCTGAATAAGGCAAGGAAAACAGCGCTCGTCTGGCTAGATAATGACTTGACATGTGTAGCACATGGCCAAGCCATCACAGTTGATAGTGCTGGATGTTTACCGAGACCGAAGTACTGCTACACAACGGCTTTCTGATAACCTCTCCACGAATCATTCGATACCATCAACGCTTCTGCGATATCAGTGGACAAAAGGCCAAGGGCATCTGATGGCAGAGAGAGAGGTGGGCATCCCTAAAAGAACTCACAGGTCCGGAAGTATGTGAATATAAGGGACAGATTACGTTCACGAACTTCTGGAATAACGGTGGTTAGAAGCACTGAAAGATCAACAGAATTGGACGTATCCTTGAATATACATCTGTGGTCAACACATGTAACACGAGTATACTTCTTGGAGGTGGGTACTATTGTCGTCTCACCCCAGTTGTTCCGGAGCCCCCCCCCCCACAGACGCAAATATGTCAGACAGGTAATGACCAGGAAATTCATTGTTGTCGTAAAAACCAGTGGCACAGCGATGGTTAAGTAGGGATATAAGCTTGAACGCTTCTGAAGCTAAACTGAGTTCCATATGCCCCAAAGGCCAACAGCCCGGATCGGGAGTAGCAGGCGGTCCTTCATCATCAGAAGTATTCTACCCAGCGATCCCACTCTATTTGATGGACATTAGAGTCATTTTGGTCCCTGACTGCTTCACTGGCAAGACAATCTTCAAGGTCAGTCTAACGGACCAAGTAGAACAACTTGCAGATAGTCCCAGCACGTTTTGCTCCTTTCATTGCTTTGGCCTCCTTGATCTAACAAACTTCCCGGTCTGTGAGGATAGTTCCAGGTGCAGTCCGATGTATCAATTTGGATTATGGTTGCGACCGAGGGAAATCTGTCGTTCAGCCTCCGTCGAGGTTACAAACCTACGAGAGTCACAATACATCGAAGTGGACGACCGAGTGTACCTCAAATAGAAGTCCCAGCACTACATACAGCTTTGGATGTCTCTCCACAGTGATCGTTAATATCCTATGTCGGATCTGCAGACAGACAGGGGGAGCCGGTTCTGATCCGTTTGATTTCGGAATCCATGAGCTTCTAAATGTCATGAAAATTATCTTTCGCATATTCAGAGCCAGGGTCCTTTGTGATACGAGCAGATGCGATTGGTTGGGGGGGGGGCAAAGGGCTTTCCTAAACGCTGCACAATTAGGCGCGCAAAACCGATAACAACGCGTATATTATCCAATAAGGCCTTCACTTGATGATTCAACAATACACCCGCCACCGTTTTTGCAGTGACCGCATCATCACAAGAGAGTGAGAGGGGTGATCAGTTCATTTACTGCTTGTGTCCTGTATTCCTATTTCTGACAGACAAACATCAATGCTAGGGCAGTCCGGTACATCAGCTAGAATTATCGTTTGCCTACTTTTTAAGTGCAAACAATAAAGGCCGGATTTCGGAGTTTCAAAGTGCCCAAGGCTGTTACTGAAGAGCAATGTGCAAAAGTTGCTGCTAGGTGTGGTGCATAGCGAACAAAGCTGTCAATTTCAGTGCTGGGACCTGTAGAGAAAGTGCTCATAACAGGGTTAACTGACTGCGCAGTATTTGACCTAGTCAATAAGGAAAACCCCTGATCTGCCTTGTAAGACGTGGCAGTTAAACCGCTTCACCTAACCAGAGCCTACTACTTAGGAAAAAGGCCTGTATCAAATTCCCTAAAGAAGAGACAACGACTTTCGCTCTAAACTGTGATGCCCAACAGTACGGATTATATCGTTGTACGGCTGCGGGAATTGGCCACTTCGGGTGGGGGTTGTGTGACATCTTCAGATATTTGACCACCTGTCTCCCAGAACTATAGTTAGAATCCTCTGGAACTAGCGAAATTGCAACGAGGTGGTCAGGGCACGGGATTTCGTCGAAGTATACTTTACTTTCATCAACAAATGCACCTAGCATTCCAGGCTGAAGTTGGGCCATGTGTTACGCGTTGCCGACTGCCTAATTCGATGTGACGCAAACATAGAGGTGGACAGAATTTGACATGACAGAAGGGAATGAGGGACTTTACGAAAAGTGAGGGTGCCTGTCTGCCTTCCAGATTGGGATACACGTGACCCTCCCTGTGCTTGGATAGGAACACTGAACTACAGGGCGGATAATCGATGAAAATGACATTCACCTCATCAGTTTCTATCCAGACAGCCACTGCCAGATCCTCCTAACCGTCCCATTTCTTCTTCGCATTCCGAAGCCCTGTTCAAGTACATTAACACGGTTGTACGGCAGTAAAGCACCAGTTTTCTCCTCTGATGTGGCTGTCAGTGACGATGATGATGATGACTCTATCCAGGTTATCTGACTCAGTGTTGGAGGTTTAGGTACCTGGAATGTTTGTGGTTGGCTAAGATCCTCCTCCCTGCTCCATTTCTCTCTTTCCATTACGGGCTTTATTCAAATAAACTGACGTGGATGTGTGGTGGCGAAGCATCAGCGTAACCCTTGGGCGTTGCTTCTAGTGGGAATGAAGATTATTATAAACTGTCCGGTTTTGCGTATGCTTCCCAATCGCACTTCTTCAGCGAACTTCTGCGGCCTACGATATAGGTATTAGAAGGGATTGCACCGATGCTATCGTGAGCCTGAGCAACAACCCGACAGAATTGCAGTCTACCTTACGTCGCATCGATCACTACGTTTACCGTTCGCTAGCTGGACTCGATTCATGATTTAGTCCGCCATATCTCGTAAAACCGAATACTTCGATCAGCTTCCCGATCACATATTCCGCAAGTTACATTTTCGCAAGGATGTGTATGGTGTCTGGTGCATGCATAACTTTATGGCAAACAATAAACGCTCTCTTCGGGTTTGTACATTATGACACGCAAGTGCAACTCACAATCTCAGGGTTCAAGGCAGAGATTACTGGTTGAAACAGCATGTTTCAACAGCCATCATCATCATCGACAGCATGACAGTTTCAACAGCATCATCATCGACAGCATGACATCAGTGTTCAACACCGAGGCTTCACTGCCGTACAACCATGATGTATCCAAAAAATCGTTCGTTCATAGCACCCTTTCGGTACCTAACTGCCATGACACCCAAAGTTTGAAAGCCTTATTGTAAAGAAAAGAATAAAGGTTAACGGGGAAAGGACTTAGTGCTAGCTTACTACAACCATTCCGAGGTGCCTACATCTCCAGACATTCACTCAGACAATATGGATAGAAACTGACAACAAAAACGCCAGGCATCGGTTGGTGGCCATATCTTCATCATCATCA